TGCATCTTCTGGAGGTTGCTCATGGTAGCTATGAGCACTTCCTTGTGAAATAACACATTTGTAAAATTTCATGAGCATAATTCTTTAAAAGCAAAACACAGAGCTGAGGACCCAGAACAGACTCTGATCTTGCAATCTTGGCATTGACATCCTCCCCTTAGCTTGCTTGTTTACAAAATGGAATGATTATAGTACCAGCTCCCCTTACTTAGAACACTTTGAAGTTTAAACAGAAGATAAGCACATTGTACTATCACGGGAAGAGGTATCCTGGTTGAGTGGGTAGGAGCTTGACAATGGGCTCAATGCCTAGAGCCAGTGTCACACTTATGGTCTTCTTAAGGACCCTAAAGTGCTATGTTAATTCTCTGTGAACACAGTTGGAGACGTTTTAAAAATAATTTGCTCATTTTTATTTTACCTATGTGAATGTTTGCCTGCATGTATGCATTTGTATAATACACATGCCTAGTGCCTATGAAGACCAGGAAAAAGTATTAATTAGATGATCTCAGACTGGAATTATAGGGTACTGTGAATTGTTAAATGGGTGCTTGGAGTTACAGATGGTTGCAAGCCATGCCTGTACTGGGAATGGAACTTTGGGTCCTTTGCAACTGCTCTTAATTACTGAGCTATCTCTCCATCCCCTTAAGGCTTCTTTCAGAGTAGTAATATTGCCCTTTTGGAGTATTGCTTTAAGGGCTCAACGAAGCAATACATTGTATCTGTATTTGGTAATCTTTCATTTAACCCAAACATATATTTTCCAGATAGGGGAAGTAGGTTGTATAGCTGCACAGCTGGTGGCATTTTATACAGAAAGACTCATATCCCTTAACTCTATCTATCAATTCTTAAACTACAGGCTTCACAAAGGGGTTGGGGTTAGATGAAGTTGGTTGGCTAGGTCTTTTCCAGGGGTGGGTGCTGGAGATGATGGGTGATGTCCTTCTGTATGCTGTGAATATATGTTTCAGCTCCATCTGTGTCTTGACTCTTTAGGGACAGTTGCTACCCATGAGACCTCACGCAGTGACATCTCACATTTGCCTGCTACTTTCTAGCTAGATTCCACTCTTAAAATACACGGGTAATTTTTTCTGGTAGAAAGCTATCCCATCAAACTCACTGAATAAAAGAAATCTAGCCAAGCATGGTAGCCTATGCTTTAATGCCTGCAAAGGCAGACAGATCTCGGTGAGTTCCAGGCCAGCCTAGGCTGTGTAGAGAGATGCTGTCTCAATAATCAAACCAACAAATGAGAGAATTAAAAGAAATACACCATTTACTTCTTCTGACGTCACAGAGCCCCCTCCTAGGACCTCAGATTGGTTTGGTTTTTTTTTTACAGTGTGTGAAGATTGCTGATTCCCAGAGGCAGCCCTGAAGTGTCATGCCTCTCAAAATTCTTAGAATCTATGAGGACATTGCTCTCACTGCACTGATCAGTATACCTGACTTTGGAACTTGACTTTATACTCAAAACTCTTATCTTCCATGGCCATGGCTCCTCAAAGGTACCCACAGCCCTTGACTCCTGAGGGCTTCTGTGAAGAAACACCTACATTAACCTATGTAGGTTAAAAGATGTAATGCAAGAGCGTGTGCTAAGGAAAGAGAACTGCGTGAGTAAGCAAGTAGAAAAACACCTTCTTGCGCTTGGTCCTCACCTTTGAGCTTGTCCTCACTCCTGTGATATACATGGAGATTGCGTTATGGTCTGGGATTTACTGCAATATCGTTTTATTGTGTTTGGTGTTTTAGGAGATTACATAGTGCTAAGATAGTGTGTAATGGGTGATGATTGCAGAGGTCAGGAGACTTGTAGATACTTTGATTTATTTTTATTAAATCACCTGATTTTAGAAAAAGAATAGCTCAGGTTTCCATGCAAGTTTCCAGAAGAATTTCTTTTAAGGTGATCCATATATTTCTGGACACCACCCATTTGTTATTGACTGTACATATCTCCCCATTCTGTTGAGGGCACTTAGAACTAAAGACTTGGTCTGTCAGTAGGTTTTGGTATAATAAGAAATTGTTTTCCTTAATGCTGCTTTCCCTCCAGACAGGAGTTTAATAAGTCCTTGGTACTAAAGGGAGATTTGCAGTGTCAGTGAAAAATAGCCCTGCCTCCTTAGGAAATCTAATAGGGCGTCTTCAAACTTCTGTCATGGGGTAGTCCTGATAAAGAGAGGTTGCTCGTGGCCTTCTTGAAACTATGGCTTTTATACAATTTGTCCATGGAACAAGAGATGCATAGGAAGGCAAAAGAGACAGTGTAAGCAAGCAGCCTGTGTCTGCTGGGCCATCATTTGAGCTTCTGAACCAAGAAGCTCACTTAGTAACTGTGGGGCCACTGTCGCCCATGTGCCACAAGACCAAGTGCAGAAAAATGACTGACAGGTTGAATGTTCATACTTTGTGTTGCTGTGACCAAAGACACCTGAATGAACACCTGAGAGGAGGTAATATTTACTTCTCATCTTAGAGGGTTCAAGTCTGTTGCTGTTTGGCACCGTGAACATAGGCAGACCATCCTGGTAACAGCAGCATGTGGGGGAAGATCTAGTCTCATGGTAGACAGGAAAGAGAGGAAGAGAAGAAGCAAATGGGCAGCGTGAGACATAGACCCTAGTGACATCCCTCCAGTTACTTCCTCCAGCTGGGCTCTACCTCCCAAAGTTTTACAATCCCCCCAAAGGGCGCCAGCATCCAGGAATTTGAGACATGAACTGGGGTGTGTGGGTGGGGCGGAAGAGGCTATTTCATATTTCAACTATGGTGGGTGTTTATGGTAGACACGTATCAGCAACCTTTCTGAGAGGCATAGCCATAGATCTGGGGTCTCTGGGAGAGATGCCTTGGGTTGCTCTCCTTTTACATGCCATGTCCTATCAGCACTTTCCAGAGCCAGTGATTGACACATGCGCTCATGCTGGGCTTTGGTATAGGATCAGGGTCTTCATCTTCCTCAACAGTGTTGGTGGGTTGACCTTGTCTTGGGGGAGGGATGGGGCTTTTCAGTTTCCTCCCCTTATTAAAGATCTACTTATAGATTTTTTTTAACCTTGTGCTCTGGGTGACTGAGGCTTACTTAATGAGCTAAAAATTTACTAGCAATAAGAAAGGTGATGAAAACCCATTTGCTTTTAACCAGGAAGGCTTCTGTTTGTTTCCTTAATAATCAGAACGTGAATATCAGCAGCAAAGTAAGGGTGGAACACGAGGAGCCAGGAGCTCTGTCTGGTGCAAAGCAGAGTGAAATGGAAAAGAGCATTGCTCCTTCCTCCCAAATCAGAGCCCACGGGGTGATTCAGCAAGCCGTGTTGTTGATTAGTTTCTGTGTGTTTACAATGCTGTCTATTCATTTCAAGAATTACAATAGAACTAAGCGGGGGACTTTGGAACATTAGTCAAACCCTATGAACTGAGAAATGAGAGTGGGAATTCAGGAGATATCTTAATTATACCTCTCATAAAGCCACACACATACATACATACATACATACATACATACATGCATACATACATGACATAAGTAGGTTAAGCTCCATCCTCTCAATGACCAGTGAATACATACAAAGAAGATTAGTTTTATTAGAATTCAGAAGACCTGGGACTGGTACCCAGCACTCAGTAGACCAGAGTATCTCCTGGTTCCATCACTAACTTGCAGGGCCTCCTAGACCAGGCTGTTTCAACTTTAGCACCCACCATTGGTGCCTTGTGCTGGATACTTTTTACAGTACCTGACTGTTTTGTGCACATTAAATAGCAGCCCTGGCCTCTACCCTGTGAAAAGAAGTACCACCCACACCCACAACAACTGTACCAGTTACTTCTTACATCACTGTGAACACGCCTGACAGTAAGAACATAAGAGGGAGATTTATTTGGCCCCATGGCAGAGAAACACTGGCGGTCGGCTCTTCACATCATTTCGGACCAGGAAACACTGGCATGGGAACTATGTGGGGGAAACCAGTCACATCATATTGGATCAGGAAGTGGAGAAAAGAGAATTCTAGCCCTCACTTAGCTAGAGTTTTTCCTCTTTTCCTTCTCATCTACTAGCCAATGGGATGGCGTTACCCAAGTTCAGGGTGGGTCTCTACCCTTCAGTTCCTCCTCTGTGCAAACCACATTAACTTCACGACAGGTGTGGTTTTTCTCCTGTGTGATTCTGTTTGAGAGATACTGTTTAAGAGCAAGTCAGGTCACTTTCCAGACCAGAGTCCTCACTGATAGACAGTGGTGGCCCTAAAAGAGCATCTGAAGTTCACTTCGGAACTGACCAGTTCCAGCACCACCCTCAAGACAATATCCCAGACTGTCGTAAGGGGTAGACAGCTTGTGTCAATCCAAATGGGTCTCTAAGTGAAGCTAATTGTAAATACAGTTCTTTTACTATCTGTCCTAGTTTGCTTCTTTGTTGCTATGATTAAAACCCTGACCAAAAGCAACTTAGGGAAGAAGGCTTATTCCAGCTTGGCACTCCCAAATTGTAATACATCATTGAGGGAAGGCAAGGCAGGAACTTATGGCAGGAATCTAGAAGCAGAAACTGAAGCAGGGACCAACGAGCAATGCTGCTTACCGGCTTCCTCAGTTTGGCACCAGGGAGCAATGCTGCTTACTGGCTTGCTCAGTTTGCTTTCGTATATAACTGAGGACTACTTGCAAGGGCTGGACCCTCCCACATCAGTCGTTACTCATGAAAATGTCCCCACAGACCAACTTGATGATAGAAATTCTTCAACTGAGGGGTCCTTCTTCCAATGTGACCCTATCTTGTGTTAACTTGACAAGACTCTCTGTTTGTTTTGTGTTTGTTCAGTTACCAGATCCCAAGGGTTTTGTTTGTTTGTTTTACTGATTCCCAAGGACCTCAAAATACACATGGAATAGCTCTGCCTGCCACCAGACTCTTCTCATACAGTGAGGGGCAACACAGGACTTTGCTAAAGTGCCTTTTTTGTTTTCCCTTCCCACAGGGATTCTCACACTAAAGAAAGCAAATGAACTTCTGAGCACAGGTGTGCCGGGAAGTTTTCTGATCCGAGTCAGTGAAAAGATCAAGGGCTATGCCCTGTCCTACCTGTCTGAGGAGGGCTGCAAACACTTCCTCATAGACGCCTCTGCCAACTCTTACAGCTTCCTGGGTGTGGACCAGCTGCAGCACGCCACCCTGGCAGATTTGGTGGAATATCACAAGGTGAAGGCACTCATATGCTTGCGTTTTCTTGGGAATTATTGCCCGATAGATGTAGGCATGGCTAGGGTAATGGGACGGTGGCACATAATCCCCCAATAATGAAGACTTTTAGTTCTATGTCCTTTATCATAGTCCCCTGACATATTCAGAGATATCCCACTGGATCTGAGAATACTGGAGATGCACACATACTGGACACGTCTGTGCTTGGTCCTATGCTAGAACCTGGCCTCTAGCAGGAAAGGGAAGCTGCCGGGAGGAAAATCGCTTTTGAGATTGTCATAAGTCAATATAGGTTTGCACAAGCCTAGAGTAGAGGAATGCTATCCCGAGGAGGTACTAAGGGCATCTACCACACAGCTGCCACATGACCCTGTGCTTTGATTGACAGGAAGAGCCCATAACTTCCCTGGGGAAGGAACTCCTGATGTACCCCTGTGGTCAGCAAGACAAGCTACCTGACTACCTGGAGCTCTTTGAGTGACAGCTCTCGTCAAGATCAGCCTTCAGCCAGGTTTTCCTCTGGACAGACACCTTTGAGGTGGACAGCTGCCCGTGATGCCAAAATCACTCTGTGAGAAGCCAACAGTGAACAATGCCTGTGAGGTCTGAACTGAAACCTCGAGTCTGCATGAACGCTGAAGTTCAAGTCAAGGGGATGTGACCTCTCCCCATCCTCATTCTGAAAGGAAAAGGGAGAAGCGTACCCATTTCAACAACATCCTACTATGAAGCATAGGACCTTGAAGGATATGACCATCATGTTGTATATAAGATAAAATAACAAGGGTAAATTGAAGTGTTTTTAGCAGTTAATATGTTACTCTTTAAAAAAACAAAAGAGTGAACTGTTTATGATCTACATGCTCCCTCTTTTGTATTCCATCAAAGGTCTCAGTTACCTACTTATATGAACTTCCATCCTGGCTTTAGAGTGCTGGAAAAAACATCTTCTCTCTCTGGGCTGAGAGTACACTCAAAAGACAACCATTTCTGTATGTGCTGGAGCCAGGATTTAGGAGACAGAAAAGCAAGTCCCAATTGGGAATTAAAAGAGAAGTTTTAACACCTGGGATGAGAGACTTACCATGTACAAAACAACAACAATGGAAAACAACACACATGGTAACAGTAGGGAACCACATTTTATAGCTTGTTCCTCATTTTTCTTTGCCTCCCTTACCTTTATCTGTGAGTAAAAGATGCTGTGATGGCTATGTAAGGAGTCATGTATTCATGCTGCAAAGAGAAGAACAGGGTGAGTGGTTTGGATACCACCTAATGAGAGTTGCATTGTGTCCCAAGCCAGAGATACATGAAGTACTGACCTCCCTGTACATGGGTGTGATCTGATATAAAAGTCATGTCTTTGTGGTTAAGATAAGTAGGGTAGCCCTGACTCTAAAGACTGGCATCTGTACAAGGAAGAGGGATTTAGAAATAGACACACAGAAAGATGAAGGCTGAGAGACCACAGAAACAGAATGAGTGATGATGTAGCTGTGATCAAGTGATGCCAAGAACTGTGGAAGACAAGAGTACTCAGGGTAGATTCTCCCTGAAACTCTAGAAGAAAAACACGTGGCCTTGCTTCTCTTGCTTGCGCCATTATTTCAGCCTTCTGGCCTTTAGAACTGTGAGATAATACATGTCAAAGTCCCTGACTATCTGGTAACTTTTTACAGCACTCTCAGAAAGCTAGTGTAAGAGTTTGTGTAATCACGGATGCCACACACGTTTCATGGACTTGTTTCTTGTTACAGTCTGCACCCTCACAATGAAATAAAACTTGGAGATGCGAAGAACATTCCAAGTAATGCTGTCTAGGTTGGGGACACAGATTTATTCAGTCAGGAATCTCTGGCCCTGCGTCATCCTTAACTCAAATGTCCAGCCATCCTTAGCTCAGATCAATGAGGTGGGGCCAACCTTGGGATGATGGGTGACCAAGGAGTCTGTGAGTTATGTACTGTCATTTTTCCTGGGAGGGAGGAACTTTACCCACAGCTAAGCCTATCTGTGCTAGCTTTCTTTTAACTTGTCTTTTAACCAAAATAGAATGGTTCTATAGTTGTTGTTGTGTGCATCAGTCAAATGCACAATATGCCAATGTAGAGGCTGATGTGCACTCCAATGAGAAACTTTGAAATTCAGATTATAGTCAACTGTTTCTTGAAACATTCCATGTGGTTTGTACTGTTTAATCTTTATAAGATCCACCTTTTAGCTTTGTGTCTATGACTCAACAGTCATGAGATTACTCAGAATCTTCGCTGTGTTATCATCTCTTCCCACTATTTTCCTGGTCCTCTTGAATGGGCCCTTTACCTATCTGCATTAGTCACGTTTCTTATTTCAGCCACAAAAGTACCTGACAACGGCAACTTAAGGAAAGAAGGGTTTATTTTGGTTCATACTGTGAGAGTGCAGTTCATCTGATGGGAAACCCACGGTGGCAGGAGCCTGCCACAGCTGGTCACACAGAACCCACATTTAGGAAGTAGATAGAGATGAATGGTGTTCTGCACACTCTCTCTTATTTTATTCCGTCTGGGATCCCAGCCCATGGGATGGTGCTGAGATACTTATGGAGGCAGTAAGAATGGCTGAATCTAAATACATCTATTTGTGTTAAGTGATCGGAAGAAGATTAAGAAAGAAGTCAACCCAGTTAACCTAGTATAATTGCAGGAGGAGTCGATTTGAGCTCTGTACTGTTTTATCTGTGTTTAACACACAGAGGAGTAAATGTTCTAGTGTTTGGTGAGACAGTGGCCAGGAGGAATAATGAAATTCTGAGGGCAGGAAAATGATTTGCAGAATTGGGAATTTCAACTAAATGGGCTGAGGGAGCCTGTGCGCTCATCCTCACTGTTATGGACGTGTCTGATACTACGTATGGTCCGAGGTGAAGTCCAACCCTGGCCCTGGCCTCCTCTTCTGTATGTCAAAAAGCCTAGATACCTGACCATTCTGCTCAAGGTTTCTTGGTCTGTTGTAGAGGTTTCTAATCTCAGGGGTTCATGTCCATGGACACTAGTGTCTTGGGCTAGAGCCAAGTGCCAGCCCTTGTCCACTTTGGTTCTTCTTTCCATCATTACGATTCAGGAAACTACCTGCGGCAGTCATCTCTGATTTTCTGGCCTTTATATTACTATGGCAAGCTAGATCAAACATTACGTAGGCTAAGGAAGCACACAGGAACAATTAAGACAAAACAAAACAAAGAGGCACGCCATGAACATGTCCCCCAAAATATCTCAGGGCATCTATACCCAGAATTACCTACTTGAGCCAAGGTTTTGCTTTAGATGTTCTTTGATGGACTAGCATTGTTCTAGTCTGTTTTCATGATATACACCATGGCCGAAAGCAACCTGGGGGAGAAAAGGATTCACTTGGCTTACACATCCCAATCATAGTCAGTTACTGAAGGAAGTCAGTGCAGGAACTGAAGCAGTTGGCAGTGAGCAACGCTACTTACTGGCTTCTTCTCAGGCTTCCATTCATCTACCTTCTTTTTCTTTTTCTTTCTTTCTTTCTTTTTTTTTTTTTTTTTGGTTTTACAAGACAGGGTTTCTCTGTATTATTTTGGAGGCTGTCGGTCCAGCCTAGCCTCGAACTCACAGAGATCCGCCTGCCTCTGCCTCCCGAGTGCTGGGATTAAAGGCGTGCGCCACCACTGCCCGGCTTCAGCTACCTTTTTTATACCTCCCAGGATCCTTTTCCCAGACCTGGCCAGAATCACAGTGATTTGGGCCCCCCCACTTCAATCACCAATCAAGAAAATACCCGATAGACTTTACCTACAGACCTATAAATGGAAGCTTCTTCTTAATTAAGACATATGTGTGACCCTGCCTGTATTGTAATTTGGGGCTTCCACTGTTTTAAGTACAGAATATTGCAGCCACTCCACAGTAACACTGCCATGTTAATTCTATGTTCTACTGTGACTACTCCACAGTAACACTGCCATGTTAATTCTATGTTCTACTGTGACTATTCCAAAGTAACACTGCCATGTTAATTCTATGCTCTACTGCAATTGGCCCCACAGTTAAATTTCGAGTTTGTCTGGGGGGTGGCGAGTAACTTGTCTCTCTATGCAAAGGCTTACTTATGTTTCTCAAGATTGAAAACTATCAAGGGACTTAGGTGATGAAAAATTTCTCCCTTTAATGTATGATAAAATATATTATTGGATAATGAAGCAGCTTGACATAGCAGAAAGAAAAGTCCAGCAGGCTTGGGTTTGTGTCCTGCCTGTATCATCAATTATCTTTGTGGAATCATAGAAAGGAAATAAATTGCTGAATCTGCATGAACTTCAACTTCTAAAATGAGTTAGTGAAGTCACCTGGGTTCTGGAGATTAGAAAAGAGTTATGTTAATTGTCCAGAATTGCAAGAGCTCTTGCAAGTGCAAGCACTCCCCGTGAGTTTTCCTTTATTAACCCAGCTTATATAACCAATGGGTCCTGCATCCCAGTGGCCACTTTCCTGGATTTTGGGGAAATATTTGAAGGGGACAAGGGAAACTTTTAAAATGTTGAGGATATAATGATCCATACAGAGCACTAGGTAGTTGACCTAAAGTGAGATGGAACAGTTAGCTTGGGATTTCAAGTGGCAAGGGAAGGGAGGAATATTTCCTAGTGATTTTGACAACCCAAAGGTGGGCAGTAGCCATCTTTTTTCCCTAAATTGGCAGTTGCCAAATAGACTCAGTGGCCTAGACATTCCTGATCATAACCTCCAAGTTACCACCTCCTTTGTGAAGAGACTTATGAATTTGCAACGGACTCTGCCTATCTCCTTGTTAGGCCAGGTCATGCCAAGACTGCACACTGTGCTACTGGTGCAGATTAGATCCAGTGCACGAGTCTCCCTGAGTCAGTTGTATGGTTTCCTCAGTGCAAAAGTTGTTTCATTTTCAAGTCTTCCCAGGAAGTCAAAATCCTAGTAAGATCCCTGCCCCAACACTGTGCCACAACCAAAGTGGCAACACAATCTTCTCCTTGGGGGTCTTTCTCAATGGTGTGAAAGACTGTTACACAAGTTTCTCACCCAGGCCACTCTGGATATTCCTGACAGCCCGCCCCAAACACACACACAGTGGGTGTCATCTTTATATGGCTCAATGTTATATGAGAGTAGTTACAGGGGATAAAAGAAGAGAAATTGAAAAAAATCCTTCAGGTTTGGTTTAAATATAATTTGGGCAATATTCTATTTTTTGTTCGTTTTCTCTTTGTTTCAAACATTTGAATGCATTTAAAATGGCTTCTTTAAGACCTCGATGGACAAGGATGCTTATTGTAGGTTTTCAGCATGGATAGGCTGAGATTGGTGGTAGATTTGGAAGTTGAAAGGACTAAGATCTGAGGTAGAGGCAGCCACCAGAAGCTTATGAATATCTCATTCCTACCTAATGTGTGGTTGCAGAAGAAGAATGAATTCAGTTCTCCTAACCACCCATGTCAGATTCACAGACATTTGCTTATTTCTGGCAGAGCATCGTCTTTCCTGCCACCCAACACACACAGACACACACAGACACACACACACACACACACACACACACAAACACAAACACAAACACAAACACAAACACACACACACATATATCCTGGCCCTTGATAAATGTGGAGGAAACAGTGGAGGCAGGAGTAGAGCCTGACTTCTCTCTCTAATAGTGTCTTGCCCTCACAGGCTGAGACACCACGGTCTCCCTTCCTATTACCTCTCCCATGGTCTCTTTCCCCTTCTAGCATTGCCAACGGATAAGTCCCAGGGGATGCTGGGATTGACTTCTGCAGAGGGCACCTTCAAAGGCTGAGTAAAGCAGAACCATTTAAAAAGATATTTCTATGGACAGGAAATAACATATTCTGTGTGCTGGGAAAAAATCCCCCAAACAACTGGCAGAGACCCCATCACTTTTTGGCAGCAACAACAAAGCCTGAGTCTTGCCAAGAGAAACAGCTTTGAATGATAACACACAGCCAGTCAGAATGTAACCACAGGGAGCTCAGGCATCAATGCGCAGGGGAGCAAAGCCCAAGGTCATTGTCTCATCAGCAGCTCCCAGGAACACAAGGAGCCCCCATTTGACCTTCCACATGAGCATCTTTAAACCCCAACATTCGGGGTCCTGCTTAAGAGCCTGGTCCTAAGGCTCCACACTCAAACACAGTGCCAGCCCAGCTCATCTGTCAGCAGCCGGAGAGATGCAGGTGGCTCGATTGGGTAGCTCTTCCTGGTCTGCTGTGCCAACAAGGTGCACTCCTCTGGGTCTCTTCTGTGGGAACAGCACCAAAGGGGGCTGAGGTCTAGACTCGTCTGACTCAAATGTCTTCCCCTGGGGCCTCATACCACATGGAGCTTGCCTCAGGGTGGAATGTTGACATGAAGGCTTGGAGTCAGTTTATGAGCCAATCTCTCCACAGTTCTTGGCCTCAACTGTCTGCACCTGGAAAATGGAGTTCCTACACTAATCGCCTTAGAAGTTATTCTGAATGTAAAAGTTTTTGCCCAACTGTCTCATTAGCCCTAGATTACTAAGCACTGAATTGGAATTGAAGTTGGTAGCTATGTATTGTACTTTATATTCCTATTGAAACTTTTCTTTCACAGACTTTTCTGAACAGCAAAACAGGACAAAGGTTCACAGTGGCTTCATAATCTCAAATGGATGGCCCACAGTGGCCCCCTGATTTTATGTCCAAGATGTGTGGGACATACTGGGAAGCTCAACACTGTCCAGAGACAGTGTAAACAAATCCTATGTGCTGCTCAGGTCATAAGTATCTGCATTAACTCATCTAACCACAAAGCAACTGTAGGCTGTAGAAGTGATTGTATTCATCGCCCTAAAGTAAGAAACTGGGGCACACAGAGACATGGAATGACTCATCTTAAACCATGTGTGTTCTGAGTGTAAGGATGAGAACTTAGGTCCCAGTGGTCTCAGTGCAGAAGTTGTAACACTACCACACGGGCCCAAGCCCTGGGATGATTGGATGAAATAATAGAGGGATTTTCCTGAAACAAAGAGTTAAAATTCTGGAAGCTACTTTTAGTGTGGAAGAAGGAAAGATATCCATACTTATAAACCCAGGGTCTCTCTCTCTTTCTCTCTCTTTCTCTCTCTTCTCTCTCTCTCTCTCTCTCTCTCTCTCTCTCTCTGTCTCTGTCTCTGTCTCTGTCTCTCTGTCTCTGTCTCTCTATCTCTCTCTCTGTCTCTCTGTCTGTGTGTGTGTGTGTGTGTGTTTGTTTGTTTGTTTATGTCCCGTGTGCTAGAAAGCACAAGACTGGACAGATCCAGCACAAGGACATTAGTATGTCACTTGGAATCACTATCTGTTGACAAATATTTAACAAAAGGCTAGATTGGTGTGGTGGTTAGAGGTTGAGGGCCTGATCTGTAGCGTTAAGTGCCAGTTCCCTTTCAAGATCAAATCTGTCATCATCAGAGAAAGACTTGGGAAGAGCTGGTCAGAGCTGTTACACAGCAGCTCCAGTCATAGTACTTGGTTGGGACCCCACACATATTAGAAGGTAACTGACTGCTTACTAAGCCACTTAGTAAGGACAAGGAATAGAGTAAGTATCATGAAACTACAAGGGACCTTTGATAAGCCAGGCATCTGGTAGTGCCCTTTCTTTGCAAGAGGTAATGTGCCTGAGTCCTTCCGTGCGGGTTCATTTCTGCTTTCCTTTGCTGTGTAAGGTTGAATTTCAGCCCCTTGTTTAGGTTTAGAGAAGCCTCCCCATCCTTCATTCACATAAGTCTGGGTTTAGAGCTCCCTGTAGGTGGACAGGAAGCAAAGAGAGCTAGGAAGATTCCAGAAGACCAGTCTTCCTCATCTTCCTCCACCAAAGTCCTCACTTCCTGACTTTCTACCACCACCAAATGTCATACAAATGAATGCCTGGAGGAATAAATCCGTTAAGGAAGTCAGAGACCCCGGGATCCAATCACTCCCCAAGACCCCATCCACTGGCAGCCACATCTTCAACAGATGAGCCTTCAGGAGACATTTCAAACAGAAACTGCAGCTAAGCTAAGCTTCAAGAGGAAGAAACTGTTTTCCTGTCCTCTTCAGTTGCTCTCAGTGACTTTTTTTTTTTTTTTTTTTTGGTTTTTACGAGACAGGGTTTCTCTGTATTGTTCTGGAGGCTATCGGTCCAGCCCGGCCTCGAACTCACAGAGATATGTCTGCCTCTGCCTCCTGAGTGCTGGGATTAAAGGCGTGCGCCACCACCGTCCGGCCGCTCTCAGTGAATTTTTAAAGTAGGTTTTTTTTTTCAAGTTATCATACAAAATAATGGGCTTCATTATGAGCCCTCAACATGTGTGCACACACTGGGTAACTTCTTCTATTGCTTTCCACTTTATTTCCACTGAACCTGGAACTTGCTGATTCAGCCCGGCTGGCTTGACACAGACCTCCAGAACACTCCCAGCTCTGTTTCCTTTGACACAGTATTGGGCTAGAGGGGACCTGAGCTCACTTTACCCACTGAAGCTTTTTTCTAGTCCTCTCAGCAACCGTAAAAATAAATTTTTAGCTAGGTATGCTTGTGCGCAACTGTAACCTAGGCACGGGAGAGTCTGAGGGTGAGTTTCAGGCCATTCTGGTTGACAAAATGAGACTTTGTCTCAAGAAACAAAAGTCTTCTTCAGTGTCATGGGCATCTGTAATGGATACATTGTGAACAAGTTCAAATTCTGACCATCCTGGAGTCATCCAGGGGCTGCAACAGCAAGAGACAGGGGAATGTTTGAGAGCTGCCTCCACCCTGTGAGAATATCAGCAACAGTCAGTCCCACATCCATAAGGAACAGTAGCCACGTGCCCTGAAGGCTCTGCGATCACAGAGTATGTGCAAACTGCAAAGGCAGCATGGAGAGGGATTTCAGAAATCATTTTTCAGTTTCATCTAACTAAAAATTAGCATGAAATGTCAAAACCTTCCTTCTATCGCAGTGGTTCTCAGTCAGGGGGGCATGCTCCCATTCCTTGAGTATTTGACTGGAGACATCCTGGTCATCAAAAACGGACTGGGAGATGCCCCAGGCATTCACTGTGTACAGGGACTGTAGGGATGTTCTACAGGACAGTCCTCTACCCCAGGGAGTGACCAAGCCTCAAATGTCATTAGGGCTAACACTGGGAAGCCCTGGTATATGCACAAAAGAATTTTCTCAAACTCAAGTGCATTCTTATTTCAGGAAGAAGTGAAATTCTCAAATTTTATTAGCTGTGCAATGCCACCTTTCATTCTTGTCACATGTTTTAATTAAACTTTATAAACTACCAGTACAAATCAATATGATGCTTTTTTTTAAACACACAGCTTGAGTGTTCTTGAAGCGTTTAGACAATGAATTCACTGTGGGCAAACAAGGCACGGAGACAGAGGAGGTAATTAGCTCATGCATCTGGTGCTGGCTAATAAATAAATAATTTGCACATGGATGTAGAAACCACTCAATGTTACCCATATTTTTTTTAAAGAGTTTGAAGTTGTAAGAAAATGTAAGCTTCAGAAGCCTCTTGGCAACCAGGTAACATTGCTTATTTGAAAAATGAGTTGATTCCACATAGCCAGGAGTAAGTGAAAAATGTAGCAAAATCTTCCATCTCACTGGACTGATGGACTGGTCTTTCACAAAATAGATGTATATTTTTCCTGCATTTTCTTCTTATGGAAGCCAGAGACCAGAAAAAGCACCCTGCTTTGAAAAGCGATTGTTTGGTTCATAACTTTGGTTTATTCAAACAGGTAAGAAAGTGGTCCCCATTTCTCCAGAGGAGAAAGTATATTCTCCAGTAATGATACTAAATCTTAGTGTCCTTTTTTGTGAAGACAAAAGTTTCTTTTCCTTTCTCCAGTGTTTGGTCATTCCTCTTCTAACAGTCCTAATAGTTTCCATATACCTTTTGCTCTGCAGCCCCACACAGCCTTATCTTTATCTGAGTTTGGCAAGTCCTCAGGTTTGCTGTCAGAAGCTTGCAGCTGAAGGTTCTGGTCACATACCTCTATAGGTACCTTCTTGCCAGCAGTGGTGGTGCATTTCTGTAAGTTTAGCACCCAGGCTGTTGAGGCAGAAGGACACGATTTCAAAGTTAGTTTGGACTCCGTGTTTTTTCTTCAAATAAACAAACCAACACAAGATAAAAATAAATCTTAAAAATCATAAAAGTGTATATACTACAATGTGCTCCTACTAAGGCTTGCAAATAGGTAATTAAATAAACATAATACAAGAAAAAGTACATTTTTAGAATATTCTGTAAAAGATAACAGAAAAGAGGGGTTTTTTGGTTAATATTGGGGGATGACAGTACTGACAGTTTGTTTCCAGGTCCTTTTATTTTGCTCACTGTCCCCTGGAGGGTGTTCATGTCTGATCCACATTTCTCACAGTCCTCTGCTCCTTCTGAAGCTTTGATAGTCCTGAATACCAAAGCTCTCTGATGGAACCATTCCCAAGAAGAGAAGTTCTCTTCTAGGGAACTTTTTGCAAAGCTGGTCTGAGGTTGTGAATATTTCAGTGAGCAGGGACAGAGAGATCATTTTCCTGTAAATACAGTCACTGTCACCATCCACAGAGTCAACAGAAACCGGAGACTCTCTGCTTTCATCTCTTTTATTCATCCGTCAGATTCTTTGTTGCCCTTTGTGGAAGTCTATACTTTGCTGCATCTACTTTTTCAGTAAGTGCCTAAGGCAAACAGCTTCAATGTTTCCACTAATCTGCACCTGGGAGATCAGGTCTTTTTACTGACTGCCTTCTGCTTCTGTTTGCGAAGGTGAGCCTCTATTTCATGCCGGAAGACAAGCATCCCCAGCTGCCCATGGGATGCCTCATTCATGGCCTTGGATTGCATGCACATCTTGTACTGCTCAGGGGTCAGTTCATCCATGCAGTGCTTCTCATGCCAGAGGTGGAATAGTCCCCGTACAGGCGTGCGGACCACTATGAGGTTGCTATGTAGATACTTCCGATACAGGTGCACATCTTCACCACCCCAGCCTTTGATGTCTAGGTCGAATCCACCTGTGGGAACAGAACATGCTATTGAATTGTGTGGCACACACTCAGCTCCCATTGACTTTTCATCAAGAGGCATATAGGAGTACTTGCTTTGTAAGAATGAGAAACTGGGTTCATCCCCACTGAACATAGCATGAAAAAATTTAAACCCCGAGAGTAGATACCTGAAATGGTGGCATGCATTTGCAATTGCAGCTCCAGGGTGGCAGAGACAGGTGGATAACTGAGGCTCGCTGGTCAACCAACCTAGCTGGTTTGACAAGTTCCAGGCCAATGGGAAACTCTGTCTCCAAATCAAAAACATGGATGACATCCGAGGAATGATATTTGAGGTTATACTCTGTCTTCCATGTCCCCATACACACAATAAGTGTTCAGGGGAGGTGACATTTGAAGCACCATCCATCAAGTTCCCAGTTGTCCATCTGGGTAAGAGACTTTGATGGGTGTGGCCAACAGGAATAATCTTCATGGCGCACCATGAAAACTTCTTTAGTAACAGGATGCTGAACCGGATTCTAAGATTGGACTGTTTGAAAGAGCCATCAGAAGTACTAATGAGTAGCTTTGGGCCAGGGTTAAGAGCTTCAACAGCATCCCTCCTGTTGGGCTTGACACGTTGCAACAGAAACCCTGTATTTCTGTCTTGGTGTGACTCCTTCTGTCCCTGCACCCTGTCCCAAACATTCTCATGTGACCTCTGTATCCCTGCCCCCAGGCCCCAGATACACTGCTCTGATCAATGCCAACTAACCAATCCTCAGTGGTGTTGGTTTGATCACAGGCCAGGCAGGCAGAGTTTGGATCCATTTTTCCTAGCAAAGTTGTTACTGAACTTGTCAAGTTGTTTTCCTGAGACAGCATCTTGCTGTATTGCCCAGGCTGGCCGTGAATTTTCATTTCTACTGTCATTACCTCTTAAATATAAGGACTACAGGAATGAGCCTACGTGATGGTACCTGCCAAAAGTTTTTTTTTAATCCTTCAATGAAGCAGATGTTATAACCAAACAAGCTAGAATTTACTAAGAGTTTGACTTGATCAACTAAAGTTTATTATTGGCCCCAGCATCTCTTATTAATTACCAAGGCCACAAGAAACTTGCAAATAAGGACACGGTTTCAAAAAAATGGCATCCAAGAGGACTGAGAAGCTCTGAGGTCATGGCAGTGGCCCCTGAGGAGTAACACTCCCCACATCTCATTGTACTCCACTTATTGAAAGTATAGTGACAACTCTACCCCACTTATGGAAAGTATAGTGACATCTCTATCCCACTTATTGAAAGTATAGTGACATCTCTACCTCACTCATTGAAAGTATAGTGACAACTCTACCTCACTCATTGAAAGTATAGTGACATCTCTCTTCAGAGAACCCAATGCAATATGAATCCAAAAGTGAAAAATATGAGAGTCCTCACACCATAATACCATCTCCCTCTGCACACAAAGCAAGAAACGAACAGTTTCTTGGAATGGGGATTATTTTTAAAAATTGAATATTATTTTTGGGAATCTGATATGCAGAGTCCCCTTGAGATATGAAAGAACACCTGTTTGATCTTCAGAGTAGCTGCCACTCAAGACCCAGCACTCTGGCATTCTGATGCCTCCCTAGGGACACAAATCCAAGCTCTGTGACATTAGTTTCATTTTAATCTGGTGATTTCTATGGAACAAAACATACCTGAGCCTGCTTCTGCTACCTGCTTTCAAAATGGGAAGCTTTAGGCTCAGACCTGGGAGAGGGGCATGGAAGAGAGAAGGATGGGAGGGGCATGGAGGAGAGAAGGGCAAGGCACCTGAGAGGCCTGGAGAGGAGAGTCTCTCCATTATTTGCCAGAGATAGGGACTTCTTCAGAGCCCAAGCCAAGGTTAGGTTTGGCCCTGTTCCTTCTTGCCCTAGCCGTGTATAATCTTCCACTTACTGTGAGGCTTCAGGAGGCTCCTTGGCCTCTGAGCGCTTTGGTCTGTTCTGCTGAAACCCATTGACCTTTCAGTTCTGAATTCTGGAACCCTGCAGGCAGACTTGTAGGTATTTGTAAATATATTCATTTAACCTTCTATGTGTATATACATGTCTATACATGCCTGTGTACATTTTCATGTGTGCCTCAGTATATGAATATGTAAATGTATGCATGCCTGTGTTCAAGCATGCCATTCTGTATCTATGTGGCTATGCATCCTTGTAGGTCTGTGTATGTACATGTGTGCCTGTGTTCAAACATGTGCCATTCTGTATCTATGTGGATATGTGTGCATGTGTGTCTCTGTGTGTGCATGTGTGTCTGTGTTCAAACATCTGTCATTGAGCGCTTGTGTATACGCATGTCTGCATCTCCATGTCCACGCATATCTGTGCGTCCAGATGTGTAGAGATGTGTTCATGTTGACACAACTGCTTACTCAGAGATTAAAGTGACATATGGGACTTTAAATAAAGGTCACCAGAATGAAACATGGGTCTTCTTTGCATATGCACTTCCCAGATTCCCCTCTTTCTCCTCATGCCTGGAGGCTCACAACGTCCCTATGAGTGGGCTCCACAGCAAGAACGCACAGAGGAGGAGGCACCACAGATCGTGCTTGAACGCTGCCGTTGCAAATCCCTGAGTGTTACTGGGTACACCTGAGGGGGGATAGTGTGTATGACAGGGTCCCAAGAGCTGCCTCCTGCCACCTGAGGGGCAGCACTGTTTGGTGACATGGCAGGGGAACTTGCTCAAGGCCTGCAGGACAGTGGCCTCCAGGTGGCAGTAGACTCGAAGTTTTATCTTACCTATGTTGATGAAATCCGAACGGTACTGACAAGTCATCCCAAATCCAAAGTCCCGCCAAAATCCAGTTTCCTTCTTTATGACCTGCAAGGAAAAAGCTGTCAGAGGGAGTATACAAAGCTGATGTTCACACACTTAGGTGCTCAATATTGAGCCCCCCCCACCAACAAACAGGCAAGATGCAAGTGTGTGTGTGTGTGTGTGTGTGTGTGTGTGTGTGTGTGTGTGTGTTTACCAAAAAGAATTACAATAAGCTAAGCCCAAATTGGGGCCTTGTGATTTTTGGCACCTCTGGACAGGATGTTTTTAGGGTGTAGGCATGAAAACATGCACACACTCTCTCACACACAACCAAAAACAACCCCAGAGAGCTCTGAGTGGTGCCATGGAAAAGCCTGCTACATGTCTGGCGCCTGCTCCTGTTCGGTGCTAAGGAGAAGTGAGGTGGGTCCCTTACACAGGCCTGGGCACGGAGCCAGCAGAGGGCTCAGGAAGTTGAGACAAGGCCTTGGAACCACTTAGAATTCATAGTCCAACTACAGGGGAAGAGAAGCTCACTGGCCCCACTGCCTCTGGCTGGCTGAGGACAGGGGTAGCTCTAAAGGATGAAGCTGCTCCAGAAAGTTCCTGCTCGGAGTGCTGCAGGGTGGCCAAGAGGCTGTCCAAGCAGTGACTGAAAAAAATCAGAGCAACACATTTCTGTTCGGTTTCTTCCTTGGGAGAAAATGTCCAGCAAATTTGCTGAATCAACAAAACTTAAGAAAAAAATAGAAGATGGGTGGTGGTGGCACACGCCTTTAATCCCAGCACTCTGGAGGCAGAGGCAGGTGGATCTCTGTGAGTTCCAGGCCAGCCTGGTCTACGGAGGGAGTTCCAGGACAGCCTCCAAAGCCACAGAGAAACCCTGTCTCAAAAAAACAACAAAAAAAGAGCTGGCCATGTGCACACACAAGCATGCACACATGCGCACACAGGTGCACACACATGTACTCACAGACACATATACATAGACTCACACAGACACACATGCATACAGGCATGTACACACAGATTTGTCAGAAGCAATTCTGGAAACAGGTTTGAAAGCCTTATAGCTATTTTTCCCCATGAACTTTGTAGTTCCCATAGAACATAGGAATTCCCTTCCCTTGGGAGAGGGAGAGAGAGGGACCAGGAGAGTCCCTGTGACGAAAGCCTGGATCCGTCTGCTGCTCACTTGTAACAGCTCATGAGAAACTAAGGGCGGGCCTGTCACAGCTCCACTACGGGCTGACCACTCTTCACTTTGATTTCAAGCCCCTGTTTTCCTTCCTATGCAATTAAGCCAAATCACAGCTGAAGAGTCTACCAGCTCATTGATTGCATCACTGTTAGTCTATGTTCTAGAGCCTTTTCACAGCCTAAATTATATTTGATAAATGTTTCGCAAAGCAGTGAATGAATCTTAAAGCATTCTTTTATCCCAGAAGGCAATATAGTGTGCAAAGGCTATGTCGTGCTATGGGCACCAGACCTTGTTCGTGGTGAGGCTCCTTAACAACCTGTCAAGGAGTGGGAGAGACTCAGGAAGTCCCACAGACCCTTCTCCAAGGATTTACATGTAGCTCATGGTTGCTGGGAGAGGAAAAGAGATCTTTACCATTGGTGTAGACACTGGTAAGTTGCCCACACTCCTGTAAACAGTGCCCACCTGTGCCCCTCCAAGCAACCCTGGTGAAACTCATCAGGCCACCAAACAATGATGTGTGCGAAAGTAGGAGGCAAACACTTTGGAAAGGACTGCGTAAAGCAGGCAAGTCTGGAGACTCCACTCAATAAGTTTTCAATGGACTCTGCTCCTTCTCCATCAATGAGGTAAACTTTTTCTGTTGCAGCTAATGGCTTAGTATCTATTGTCCAGGGTTCTAGGTATCTCACAGACGTGGAGTTGCAACACGAATAATATAAACCTAGAGACAGATATTGGGACTCAAGCTGAGGGTCAGGCAAGCAAAGCAGTCAGCCACTAGCTCTTACCTCTACCTCGGACTGAAAGGACCAATTGCCTCATGAGACCCTTGACTTCTTCCTTGTATACCTCTCAAATCCTGGAAGTAAAGGTGTGGGATCCCAAGTGCTGAGATCTTTGTGTGAGCTGGTTTTCATTTAGACTGGATCAATTTTGTGTAGCTCAGTGTGGTCTTGAACTAAGAGAGATCCGTCTACCTTTGTCTCCTGAGTCCTGGGATTAAAGCTGTGTACAACCACCACCTAGCTTCTATAGCTAAGTAGTGTGGTTGCTGGGATTAAAGATATCTATCACCGCTAGGTGGTGGTGGCCCATGCCTTTGATCCCAGCACTCAGGAGGCAGAGGTGGGCAATCTCTGTGAATTCGAGACCAGCCTGATCTACAGAGTGAGTTCCAGAAACGCTGTCTCGAAAAACAAGCAAACACAAAAGGTGTGTATCACCATTGCCCACCTCTATGGTTTGTGGCTAGCTTTGCACTCTGAGCAGTTTCCAGACAGGGAGAACAATTGTCTCTGAGGATTTGTGGAGCTAGCCGGATCACCTTTTAGTCTGAAGTAGATGAAAGAGCTAGTGGGAGGCTGCTTTGCTTCTCTCATCTTTCAGATTGAACCCCAATATCTGTTTCTGGGTTTTTAGTATTCGTGTTACATGGAGAGGAAGAGAAGCGCCAGCATCCAAACTTCAAATATTTGACAGTACTCTACACAGGATTTAAAAGAGACAGCTCCCTCCTGAAAGAGCTATCAGGAGACCTGAGGAGGAAGCATGCATGTGCTCCCAAGAAGCCATTGTATCAAGATTCTGGGCTAAAATCAATGTTGTGTTGAAGGACATAAGGAATGGTGATCCTGACCTGGAGAAGTGTGACAGCAACACATGGATTTATGGCCATAGGTTGAGGTATAGAAACAGTTATTAAGTTGGCTTTAAAGCCAGTAAGCCACAGAAAGCCACTCTGGGAAGAAGTCGTTGAAATATAGTCTTTTGTGGAAACTGACATGGTTGTGTCACAGCATGTAATTTCAGGGGAAGATGGATTTCACTTTATTAGAGGTTCCACCACCATAGCTGGGCCAAGTTACTAACTGTTGCTCTCCAGTGTTGCCTTTGGAGAGCAGCCTGGCAGAAATGAATGCTTTTATTCTCTCCTCATGGGATGGCATCAGGTTACTTCTGAAGACCTTACAAGAGCCACAGAGGGGTTTGAATCTACCAGCCAGGCCTGCTTGCCTCCTCTCTTATCCCCTTGGAGCCTCTACAACACTGGTTCTCAATCTTCCTAATGCTGCGACCCTTTAATTCAGTCCCTCATGCTGTGGTGACCCTAACAATAAAATTATTTTCATACCACTGTAATTTGGCTACTGTTATGAATCACAATGTAAATATCTATATTTTCTGATAGCTTTAGGCAACCCTCATGAAAGGGTCACTTGATCCCTAAAGGGGTCATGACCCACAGGCCCATTTCCTGACCTCTAAAGTCCCCAGGCTCACAGGCATCTAAGGTGCTCCTACATTCTCTAGTTGGACACCTTTCCCTTACTCGTCATTGCTCAGAGTGATCACCCTGACTCTCCTGGCCAAGGCCATACAACTGCCAGTCCCTGTTTCCCCTCTACACTGTGAGCCCAGCTTAGCTTCCTTCTAACACCAGCAGTGAGACAATCCCACGGGGGCATTTCTTCCTCAGTTAGCTGTCTTCACTCACCACCCTTGGGGAATATCAGCCAGAGTCAGTCTCTTGTGTCATCAGCACCCAGAACACTGCTAACCACACAGTTGTGCAACTAATAGATACATAAGGAGATACTCTTTAGTGGACGGAGGAGGAACAGTTCTAAGGCAATCGTGGCTCCTAGCCTGGGGAAACAAACATGCTTCAAGTGAGAGACACTTGTTAGCAAGAAAGCAAAAGCAATGGTGACAACTGTCAGGATTGTATGGATCCAGACTGGTGGGCAAAAATGTCCTCATGTTCTTGAGGCATAAGGCACCAAGTCTGACTTATACACACTGAGTCAGGCTCAAGGAATCCCACCATTCTGTCCAGTTTAAAACATAAACTGCTGTGGTTCTACCACAGGATAAAGAGTAAGCCTTCAGAGTTACTCATCTCGTCCTCTTGTTGTAAAGCTCATTGATCTACCCACAGGTGCCACAGTCAATTTAAAGATGTTGTCCGGTGCTAGTCTCTTGTTCACTCTTTCTATGGCACCTTTCTACTCCAATAAAGTTTGCAAAAGACTGTGGGTCCACGTAGGCCACAAAGGCAAGGGTTTCAGGCTTGGTGTCCTACAGGAAGTTTCTAGAATCACAGCTTTGTGAGCAAGTCATGTGACAGGGGCATTTTTTTTTATTAGGACCAAAACAGAAATCAGCAACCCCCTCTAGAGTTGAGGGGAACACGGTCACCACACAGCTACACAGGCATTCTGGAGCATAGCCAGTTGCCTGTCTGATTTAATGGTGTTGGGCTGGGCAGCTGCCTATGAAGCAATCTGAATTTTAAAATTAAGTAAACTTCGGGGAGAGAATTCTCTCTGAAGCAAAGCGTGTCTCCCTAGAACTGAAGCTAGACCTGAGCAGCCTTCTTTGTCCTAGGAATGCCCAGGAGCTGGGTGTGTTTGCAGGCATGTGGCCCAAAACTTGCACAGGGCCCCATGCTTGTTGCAGCTGCCTTTAAGTCTGGACAGTTTTGGAACAGGGTCTGCATTTTGGTTGTGTTCTGTGATATTCTACTGATAGAGCAGGCCCTGCCCACGAGTATTGAACTGCAGCAATTTCTAGGTCTGACTATGCCTCGTGTGCTCTTCTTTATCTGGGAACAGAAGGGTCAGTTCTGAGGGTGAAGGCTCTGGACCCTTTTCTTGAGACCTCTTCAAATGGAGGCAGAATCGTTCTGTTGAAACAGAGCTCGGAGCTAGGATTCCCATGAAGATCCCGGTATAATTTCTTGAGAAATAATGCATCATGGAGCCCCAGAAGCCCCAGAATTTATTTAGTAACAGGCATAAATCTCATCCCCTCTCAAATCTTTACAGAGTCTCATTTTCACACAAGTCTTGCTGGT